CAATTACTTCTTTTTTCCCATTAAACAATTACAAAAAAACCCTCAATCAGATGTTAAGACACAAATTTAATACTATAATAAGGGGGAAGGGGCTGAAATGTTCCCTTCAATATGCAAGACAAAATGAATTTGTACGTATGTATTTGAGACAAGGTCTTGTTATGTAGTTCAAGCTGGCCTTGAACTCACTATGTAGCCCAAGCTGGCCTTGAGGTGCTCCTCCTGCCTCAGCCTCTCAAGGGCTGGAATTACAGGTGTATGCCACCATACCCAGCAATAGATCAATTTAAGCAAAGAAATAACAAGCAGCTTTGGGGATGCCAATGTACCCAGTGGGGTTGGCAGAGAGGCAGGTAGCTTGAGGGCCTACAGTATATTAAATGAGATCTGGTTCTTCCTTCTTATCAGCACAAAGGCATTCCCATTATACCTTTTTTCCAGGAAAAAATCATGTCCACATGCAACTCCTGGGGCTGCGTGTTTATGCACATACTTACTGACTACTGGCAAGAGTGCTAAAAATACTCTCGGGCCAACAGAAGAGATGGAACGAACATAGGATGTCCTTCAGTAGAGCAGAGGGCAGGTAAGATCTTCTGTCAGAACAGACAGAAGGAAATACAGCAAACAGAAAAACTAAAATGCTGACAGGTGGGAACGAAGGTCGAGGTCTGCAGTCTCTGTGAGCTAACTTCCTTTATCTCTTTATTTCTCTGGGAAGGAAGAAAATGGCACTATCTTAACTGAACAGGTTAAACAGCCAGGCTATTCTTTTTCTAAAAGTACTTTTTGCAGGTTTTGACATTCTGGTATCACAGAACATATCTGGCTTTAGAAACAGCTCAGTAACAGAAAATGGACTTATTTACCTATCACAGGATAAATATATAAGTTCCTAAACAAAATATCAAAACAAAAAATGACCTTAAAGTAGATGTAGAACAAAATATGAGATCTAACAGATAATACGCTCGTCGTTACAGAAGTAACAGCAAAAGCAGTTACTCCCATCTAGCAGGGCTTCCCCACAGCCAGGGCCGGTGCTTCTGTGGCCGTGGGTCGTGCACTCCCCCACTGCCTGGGTTCACAGTGCAAACCCGTGTTCTGTTTTATGTTACTTCAGATTGCCTTCCAATAAATCAGTGGGAAAAAAACTTAGAAAATAATTTCAAAAAATAGAATGATAAACTTGACTTTGAAATGTCCTGAAAAAAAAGATGCTCATGACACATACACACACGAACACACAAGCACATACATACACGCATGTGTACACAAACACAGAAACAACCCTGGGTCACTGCAAAGGAGCGGATTTTAGCAGATATTACAGATCTAGTAAGTTCTTAAAATAGCCCTGAGAGTGGAGTTTTCTCTATTTAAACGGATTAACTTAGAGTCATTACAGGTCACAATGATACTAATCACTTTAATTCTGATTAGAGGGGCATCCAAGGCCATTCCAGACAAACTGCTCAGCCAGCTGCACCCACAATCTCTAAGCAAGCCTTTGAGCAACAGTCCTGTCTGTGGCTGTAGGGACAGGATAGTTTCTGACTTACAGTGAAGCTAATAGATTTTTATCAAAGAAACTTTCGAAGGCAAATTTAAAGGAAATATTAAAAACAAAAATAAACTTGATTAATTTTTAAAAAATTGATTTTACTATTTTCTATGTAATTTTTTCCCTTTTGACAAATACTGGATGCTGTATTTAGATATTACACTCACTTTTCAAAGAAATCCTTGGCAGTACATCTGCAACTAGCAGAAAAATTTCTGTCAAAAGGCTTTCTCCTTATGTCCTTGTATGTATGACTACCTAACTTCAGATTTCTGATTTTGGATAAAAAATAAATTTACTCCTGGGCTTATAAGGCAGTTTTAGGTTTAGTGTCTAGATTTAGTGTCTCTTGATTATGAAAAAATTGCAGTGGGTAGAAATGCTTAATAAAATATTTTTTAGGATATGATTTATTACAGTTACTCTTTTCTCTTTGTCTCTCTGTCTCTGTCTCTCTCTTCTTCCTTTTTCTTTCCTTTCTTTCTTTCTTTTTTTTTTTTTTTTTTTTTTTTGAGACAGAGTCTCCCTTTGTAGTTCAGGCTGGCCTTGAACTTACTGTGAGGCCTAGGCTGGCCTCAAACTCATGAGGATCTTCTTGCCTCAGCCTTTACAGTGTTGGGATTACAGACATGTGCCACCATGCCCAGCTAGTTACACGTGTTTAAACAGGATGGTCAAGCAAATTAAAGGGATGTCTGACCTGCTGCCACAGAACAGAATTATAATCTTGAAGAGACTGATCATTTGGAGACTTATAGGGCAAACAGGACATAAAAATAGCCTATCTAATAAATTCAATACAATGCCAAATAATATAGTGCTGAACATAAATAACATGGATTTGATTGAAAAATAGTAACTAAGGATATATTTCATTTATACTTAGTAATGTTCTATTAAGTTTCTATGTGGGCCAGATTTGGAAAACAGAGTATTTTGAGTGTTCTTTTTACTAATAAGGAGAAAAGGAGATCCTCATAATAATTTCTTCCTAAGGCAAAACAAATGCTGAAGTTACTTCTTTGCAGATCTAAATTTATTTGAATTGTTTTAAATACCATTTGTACTCTTTAATTCTTCTTTTTTCCTGATACTGGAAATGGGATTGAGTCTAGGGCACTGGAACTGAGCTATTCCAGGCCTTTATAAAAAAATTTACAAGTAATTTCATGAAGAAGTTAGATCTTTTTCAGTACTAGGAATTGAGCCCAGGGTGTTTGCATTGAGCTACATCATCAGCCATTTCTAATGTATCTTGAGACAGGAAGGAGTTTCATTAAGTTGGTAAACTGTTTAATGTATCTCATGATACATTAGGCTCAAACTTGCAATCTTTTTGTCTCAGCCTCCCAGAGTGCTGGGATTACAGGCATGAGACACCATACTCAGCCCAAATGTCTTGATACTATAATCCTGATCTAGGAAGAAAAAAGTAAGAGGACTATAAGACACATTAATTTTTACTTAGTTATTCTTAGATAATAACTTTTTTTTAATGCAGTACTAGGGATTTAACCAAGGACCTATCTGCATGTTGGGTAAGTGCTCCATCACCAAGTTAAACCCCAGGTTCCTGTGAAGAAATTTTAACAGTACTTTTCTGATGGATGGTTAAGACCAAGAAAGAACAAGACCTATATAACAAGAAATGTAACTTCTGTATCTGATAAGGCCAGTCAAATCCCCTCAGAATTTAACCTGAAACCCTGTATCGCAGTTTGCAGATCCTTTGTCAGTGTCAGCCATGTGGATGAGTCATGGCCACTGCTTGACCAATTTGCTCTCTGTGAAAGCTTAAGAGAATGTTTTCTCTCCATGTGACTCTCCTTAGGCACATTCTACATCATTGATCACTTTCCTCTGCGGCCCCGAAATCTCCTTGATCAGAAAATTTGGGACACAATTGAGTTACAGGATGTCACAGCACAGATTCTCTTATGTCCTGAGTCCTCACTGACCTTGAAAGGCTAGGGCCAAAATGTTGGCTGTCCTTGTAGCCCTTCTTTTTCTTTAATTTTTGGTCTGCAAACTTAAGTTGTTAACCCTCCAGAAGAGAAGCTTAATGATATTATTATCCTATAATGGAGGCGGTTGAGCTTAACCTCACTATCTGTTAGCAGAAAAGTATGAAAATGAAGTATAAAAAGTAAAGTCATATTGGGGCCAGGGAGATGGCTCAGTAGAATAAACACTTCCCTGGCAAGTGCAGGGCCTGAGTTCAATCCCTGGTTCAGCCAAAAAAAAAAAAAAAGTAAAGTCATATTAATATGATGAGCTGTAAAATGCTCAAGTCAACAACTTTGGACACTGACAGTCTTATGGAAAACCCACTACTATTACGGACTATTGGACCATATTGGTATATTTTGCTGAATTCATGCACCTACAGTATTTAAATGACAATGGAATGCCCTTCTCTGACAAAACTAACCAAAAAAAGGGAATACAAATGAATGACCACTTTGTATCTGTATACTCAAAATAGTTAGGATAGATATACAGCTCCATTCTCTTAACTCAATGAATAGAGAGGTTTATTCTAATAGTGTTTGAGACAGGATATCAGGTCTGCATCTTGTACAATGAATAACCACTAAGACAACAATATGCAATGTATTAATCATTGAAAATGTACTACTAATTGGTTGTGAAACTGTCTCATTGCTATTTGTTTCTCAATAAAATTTTTTTTAAAAAATATTAACAGTAATCCATTAATTGCTCTAATAGATAAATCATAAAATTTTACCTGCTTTAACATATTTTGTATTTTTAAATGTTTTAATACTAGACAATGTATTGTTAGGATTTAAAAAATATTACTGTTTATGATACATACTTTTAAAATGGAATTAATGAGACTGTTAATTAAATTCAGTAGTTAAAAGAAGCACTCAAACCCTACTTCCTTCACTTACTGGGATTGTCACTACTGAGAAATGGATTGATCTCTCAAGTGCCTCATCTACAGAAGAGAGCACTTACCTCCTAAGGTTGGTGTGGTGATTAAAAGAAGTTGGTGTCTGTTTTCAGATCGAGACAGTGTTGGGGTCTGAATCCAAAGCTTTGTGCATGGTGGGCAAACATTCTACCACAGAGCTACACCACCAGTCCAGCAGATAGTCTTTATAAAGAATTTAACACAACGCTAGGCAGAGAAAGTATTCAGTAATGGTGTGATATTATTATTGTTCTGGTTTTTATCATTGAATACAACAAATGCCAGATTTTTATTCTGTTGATAGGACTCAATACAATAAAGTCAAAGACAGCAGAGTAAAAATTTTTCATTAAGCACTCTAGTAATTTCTGACCTACCAGTTACACGACTTACCCTACTATGTCTACTTGCCATACTTACATGAAACAAAATGAGAAACATCAGAACAAGACCTACTGCTGTCTTTCATTGAGAATCAATACAGAGGCAACCCACCTGTGCAGCTCTTCAGTTTTGTCTTCACTTGGACCTACGATTAGTAAACAATGGCGAAGGACAGCTGCCATGACACGGAACTGATGAGAATCACTCTATGCGAATAAAAAAAGGAAAGGAAAATTGGGGGTTGAATGCCTTAACACAGGAGTCTGGTACATTACTACCTATCACCTGCCCCCCAAAACCTGTTACACCATGGAGGGAACAGCAGGGTATTCCAGAATTCCCAGGGTGATGCACTAGTAGCCAGTTGCTCTCACATATGGATAAACACTGCACCTCCAGAAACAGTGACACCAGGGGCTGCTGATCCAGCCATTTTGTTGTACCACTGTTGAAGACTGGATTGTACTGGGGCGTTTTCATTTCTAGAAATCTGGATTCTTCATCCTATAATATACTGCTCCAGTTTACTGGTCACATTAAAAGTCCCACACAAATGTAATGTTATCCTCACATGAAGACAGTTATTTTTGGAGTTAGTTCTACATCCTTTAAAAAAGTCTCATCTCTTAACAGCCAAAATCAATGAGTCCATCAACTTCATTTTATCAATCTTCTTAATCTCTCAGTTACTTCAGAACAACCAGAAAGTTACAAACAAGTGACCTAAGTTTACCCCCTGCTTTCCCATCCTCACTTGCAGGCAGTGACATCAAAGTCAGCCAGAGAGAAGGTGTCTGACAGCAGGAAAGGAACTAAGCTCTGAGTAACCATTGGGTTTACCACTTCATTTGCAGTGAGATCTTGGACCATTAAACTAATTTAGTCACCTATATCAAGGCCTTATCTCCCTTCATCCAGATTATGAGTAATTAAGATGACACACACAATTAGAGATAATTATGATAGCCCAGATAGGCCATATTTCAAGAATGTAATTACTTGAAAAACCTCTTAGTATATAATTGATTTTAAATCCAAGTATATATTATATTCATACAGTCCCTCTCAGAAGATGTCTCTTAAAATCTAGCAAACAGGGACACTTTCATTACTCATAATGTAGATGGCATTTTAAACACATCACCATCATATGCACAGCTGGAGGAGATAAAGGCCTCAGTGGCAAAGTGGAAAAAGCACTGCACTTGGGGCAGGCATCTAGGTGCACTTAGATGAGTCACACAGTTTCTCCTGTATCAAGTTTACTGGTCACTGGTCAGCCTCAGTTTCCCCACATTCTGTTCCACAAACATGAGGTTCTGTTAGGATGAACAAAAATGCTATGCACAAAGCACCTTAAAACTTTCAATAAAACGTGAAGTTGTGGTGGCACATGCCTGTAATCCCAGCTCTTGGGAGGCTGGAAACAGGCGGATCACTACGAGTCCGATCGAGTAGAGAGACCCTGAACATCCTGTAGACCCTTCCCTAAAAGTAAAAAAAAAAAAAAGTGAAGTTGATGTAGAAGGGGTGTTGGAAAGGAAATAGAACGTAAGAGTGACAGGTAAAACAGGTAATAAACACTGCGCGGTGAGGCAGGAGGAAAGGAGAAGAGGGGCCAGTGCAGTCTGGCAGGGTCAAAATGAATGTACTGTTTGCCATCCATTCCCTAATGCCTAGATGAAAATGCTCTCAATATATGAATACGCTTTCACTCCTATCCACATTACACAGAGTGCTGAAACCAGTATCAAACTCCATCATTATAGAACTCCTAGTGGGATGCTTTCCTTGCTTTTGGAAATTAACTGGGAAATGTACTCCCTTTTAAGCTAGATTCTCTTTTATTTTAGATGAAACAATCTTTCTCTTCTCGGTGATGGACAAAACCCTCTTGCAAAACTAACCAACTGGGTCTTTTCATTATCTGTAACTCCAAGTCAAATCCTCTTCTCCATCCCATTCCTCCTTTTGCAGTTTTCCTAACACATATTCCTAAGTCTTTCTGTCTACTGTATCCTCTTTTATCTAAATCTACTGAAATCCATTTTTCTACTCAAAACAACTTTTGAAATCACCTCTACGGTTCACTCTGCTGACTCCTTCTCACCCCAAGTCACAGCTAAAGTACTTCTCAGAGAAGCCTCTTCTTTAGCCACCAGATCTAAGTGGACTCCATCTTTCATGATTCTCTATCACTGTGTCTTTTTCAGTTCTTTCATGTCATCATAATTTGTAATTCAACATGTTCATTTTCTTACATGCATTTTGTTCTATACCATCATAAAACAGAATGTGTCACACACGTTCAATAATTTTAATGCAAATGGTAGGTGGAAAAGGCTAAATTACGAGCATCCAGACAAGTAACACCACAAAATGAGGTACCTATATCACCAGTATGAAAAGTTACGCAGCGACAAGACTAAGAACCCCAGAACTCTCACACCCCTGTGCACTGACAGTCTCCTGCTCCTCAAAGGTAGTCCGCAGCATCACAGGCCAGTGACGGGTCGTCGCTGTACTCCATGTGAACAGAATCCCACAGCCCTCTTGCGTCTGGCTGTGAGACTCACCCACACCGACATGTGCAGGTACAGCTTGCTATTTCACTGCTTAAGAGCAGGGCTGTTCCAGGTGTGGTGTCGCTGATACCCAAAGCCCCAAGAACAGAAGGTGGAACATTTAGAAATATTCTGAGTAGTAGAGATTTTCATTCTCATGGCTAGGGAAAAAGATTTGGTCAAGGTTAAGGAACAGTACTAACCAGTGTTCCACTGGATGAATCTACCAACCCTTATTTTCCATCATACTCCTGATAAATACATGAATTACTAACTGTACGAACACACTTTTTACATGTCATTTGGAATCCACTGGGTATATGCCCAGGGCAGGGGGTGTAGAATCACAGGAAATATCTGTAAGTCAAGTTTAGATGATACAGTCAGGGTCTCACAGCATTTATCTCAACTTATTCTTGTGGCAATCTCTTTACTGCTGCACTGACACTGTTTTACTTTAGTCCTTCTCATGCACATGCAATGGTCTCTCGGTCATAGCACGCATTGTCCTAACAACCAATAAAGTTGAACACCTTTTCACACGTTTACTGGTTATTTGGGTGGCTGTCCTGTGAAGTTCCTGTTCAACCCTTCTGCTTTTTTTTTTTTTTTAATTGGATTGACTTTATTTAGTCTTTTGACACAGGGTTTCACTATGCAACTCAGGCTGGCCTTGAATTTACTTTAGAGTCCATGTTAGCCTTGAACTCACAGTGATCCTTCTGCCTCAGCCTCCTGAGTGCTTGGATTACAGACGTGAGCCACCACACCTGGTCCAATTGACTTTATTTTTATAAATCTGTAGAACTTTTTACCACTTTTAAAAATGTATTTAGCACAGAGTCTACAGGGTCTCACTATGTATCTCTAGACTCATAGTGATCCTCCCGTTTTCAGCCTCACAAATGCTGGGATTACAGGTGCACGCCACCATGCCCAGTCTCAATCGCTGTCTCAGTGTGCCCTGGGGGTGGGGCCAGAAAGGCAGGCCCAGGGACCGAACCCCTGCCTATGCATTCTGCCTAAGCAGGCACTTTAGTCCACTGAGCTATCTGGCCAGCTCTGAAGAGAGCCTTTTATTGCACATATATGCTGCAATATCTACTCCCATTTAATGACCTGCCCTTTAAACTTTCTCTTAAATAAAGATCTATTTGTGAATTTTTAATTTTATTGTCTGATCTTTATTTTGTCCTGTTTTCTTCAGGAGTCTTTGTTTAAGAAGCATTTAACTTAGAAAATAAAGTCATGAAGATAATCTATAGTATTTCATCTTTTATATTAGGTATCTCAACCAACTCATATTAATTTTTTTGTGTTCATGGCAGAGGTAGGAATATAAATTCATTTTTCCCATACAAATTGATCTAGAACGATTTATTTAAAAAAAAAAAACCTATCTCTGGTGACTTTCACATTACCTGTATTAAAAGTCAGCTGACAAGCTGCATATAGGTTTATTTCCAGATTTTCGTTCTCTGTCACTAGACTGGTTCCATCAATGTTGTCAGAGGGCTGCTACCACATAAGCAGCTTTACTTAACAAAGGTGAGGGTGGACACTGCTTCCCCTGTTCTTTCTACATGGAATTTCCGCATCTTCTTCATCAGTGTTTCATTTGTTAAATAAGGTTAGGATTCCTGTCTCACAAGAATGTCAGAAAAGGGCTGGGGAGATGGCTCAATAGAATAAGTGCTTTGCCTGGCAAGTGCAAGGGTCTGAGTTCAATCCCCGGTTCCACACACACACACAAAAAAATCAGAATAGATTAATGGCAATTGCTCTTCATAAAACATATAAACAGCCTATATACAACTGTTATTTTCTTGCCTCATAATTTAGTTTTAGTATCTTTAAGCCATGAATAGTCTCTCCTCTGAACTGATAAACCTTCAAAGTCTGAGAAAGAAAAAAGTGCCTAAGATCAGAAGATAAAGGAAAAGACAAGTGAGCGTCAGACTTGGTTGTGATGGTAGAGATCAAAACAGTAAGTAAAAACTGAGAAATTCTTTGGGATATCTTTATACAATCTTCACTTGCTAATTACACTCTACTACTATACTACTGCTTTTTCCCTCTTCCATGCAAACTGTAAGATTTAACTTTATTTGGTAAAAGTTTCAATTTTTCTTTTATTTTTTCATTTAAAATTTTGACCTATCAAGGGGGCCGAGGAGATAGCTCAGTAGAATAAGCGCTTGCCTGGTAAGTGTAAGGGCCTTCAATCCCCAGTTCTGCAAAAAATAAAAAATAAAAAATTAAATAAAATAAAATTTTGACCTATCTAATCAATGCCCCAAACCCCAAAGGGATACCTAGTGTATATGACATCTGAAGCTAGTATACATGGCTGATGTGATTCTTTATTGTTATTTTCTTTATTTATATTTTTAAATATATAGAAAATGCTGATAAGAATAGTAAAGAATGTAACAGTCTGCTACGGTTTAAATGCTCCTGCTGCAGTGCACACTGAAATCTAACTTCCATGGTACTGGTACGGCGGCGTGGTGTGGGAGTGCTTAGCAGGGTTCAGCTCCTGAAGACCTTGCCCTTCTGAGCCCTTCAGTGCTGTCTTCATGCAGTGCCTTAGGGGTCAGCCCCTTCTGCGCTCATGTGCTCCCGCTGTCCCTCAGACATGCAAGTGGATGCTCCTTCTCCAAACAATGCCTTCCCCAATGAGATGCTGTAGCAAGCAGGCCCAAACAGAGCCCCACAAAGCTCTCTGATTGACAAATTATGTCTGTGGTGTTCTGTTACAGGAGCTGAACCTGGACTTGGACACAATTGTACAGCCACCTGTTTCTACGTCTAGTTTCCCTGTTAGACTTAGTGCTCGGAGGGCAGTGATGTTTTACCTTGCATGTCACCTGCCTACCACAGAGCTTGGTGCAAAATGCTCAACAGCTGCCGGAAAAATGGTTATGCAAAATAGTAGTATATTTTATTTTTCCATAATTCCTTCAAAGTCTCTGGACTATTCACCAAACCCCTTCTGTTACAATGTGGTATTCTCAAAGAACTTCTGTGGAGGGGGCCAGGGATACAGCTCAGTGGCTTAAGTGCCTGCTTGGCAAGCACAAGGTCCCAAGTTCCCTGGTACCGCCAAAGAAGAGAACTTCTATGGAAACTCAGTGCTTTATCTCCCTGCACCAGCATCTTCTGAGTACTCAGCTAACTTGTGTTTCTCTGCTCGCACTTGGCTGGCTGGTCCTTGTATGGGTCTCTTACATCGTACTGATGCTTAGGACGCACCACAGAAGGCAAAGTGTGCCATGGAAGGATCCCTCAGGCGTGCCCTCCTCCATCGACAGACACACTGAGGAAAATAGTAAGGCAAGAAGAACACGGGTGATTTCAATTAACTTTCTTAGCATTAATTTTTAAGTCCTGCTAAAGGAGTCACTTGGCCTTTACAAACATGCTACCTCTAGGAAAGGGAGAGAGTGCACGAGAGAAGTGACAGAATTCATGTGCAGCAGCAAGGTCAGCCCGGTATCCACTGAAAGGAAAGGAATCTCCAAATTAATCTGTTGATGGCATCAACAGCCAGGCAGGAACTTAACCATCAGACAAGGATCTAAAATGAACAAATGGTACTAATTTGTTAAACCTCAAGGGAAACCTAGTTTATTCTTTTCTAGTTTTGGTGAATTGTAAATGAAATCCATCATAAAAATATCTGCTAGTGCAGTTAAAACCAAAACCAAGTATCTCCATTTTCTGTAACTGTTAAGTTGTGAAATACACAAAAAAATGTCAAAGTGAAGTGCCTGGCTTTGAAAAGGAATATCCAGAACTAGCATTCTGAAGGTCAGTTTGACAATATACATGAAAACAAACTTTACAAATTTTTTGGGGGCCAGCTCAGCCCACTCTGGAGGCAGGGCTGGGTGGCATGTGGAGGGGCGGGGAGTGGGGGATAGAACCACCATCTCTATGCTTGCCTAAGCAGGCACTTTAGTCTGCTGAATTATCTGGCCAGCCCTATGATTTTGAAATCATTTGGTCCATCAATTTCAGAAATGCATTTACAAAGGTTTTACAACAAGAAAAGTCATTGTATTAATATTTAAAACAACAATAAATTGGAAACAATTTAAGTGCCTAAATATTTTATATGGATAATTTCTTTGTACTTACAACTATTTTTATATTTACGAATATTCTTTCATAAGGTTTTATCATCTATAACAAATAAAAGTTAAGAGTGTGGCTGTCAAAATATTTTTGTTGTTGCTGATGAAGAATGATTTTTATCCTTCAAATAAAATCTTATTACAGAGAAGCCACAATAAGCAACAACCACCAAAAGAGCTGTTTCTAGAGTGAGATGGAGAGCCAGCGAGACTACCTACCCACTCAAAGAGGCCACAGCTAGACAGCTTGTACCTTACAGGGACCCATTTTGAAAACTACTCCCTTTCTTTGGCAGTGTTGGGTATTAAAACCAGGGGCTCACACATGCCAGACTAACCCCAGCCTTGAAACCAGTACTCTTCAATAACATTCTCTGTAAAGTTGTGGGAGAAAAATTATAAAATGATCACATTTTTATGTTTTAAATGTTTAAGTTTTTATTTTCTGTGGTGCTGGGGATCAAACCCAGAGCCTTGTACATGCAAGGCAAGAGCCCACCCACTGAGCCATGTCCCCAGCCCCTTGATCATATTTTCAAAAACGTATGTATAGTTGTTTATGCATCACACAAAGAAGAATGTTTCTACAAGTAATCTGTATTCACTGCTTATTAGCCTTCTCCTAGATATTCTACAGTGAGTATGTATTATTTTCATAAGAGGGAAAATAAGATTATTTTTAAAGTTGGATTCTTCTATTAAATAAGCTTTCATATCCCTTTAGCTCAGCTGGACTTTGGAGTAATAATTCTTTGGGTGCTTGCTTAGCTTAAGTAAGAGATATTTTACATTTGACAAATCAGGGAAACACTACACCTAGGAAGGTAGACTCTTAGTAGCACGTCCCTTGGTGCTCTTAGAGATTTCTTTATGCTAAGTTGCAAGAGCCGCATTGAAAATGACTCCGTGCTTTGGCTTCTATATTTTCTCCTATGCTGTGTCAATTTCAGGGAAATCCTCCATTCTTCAAATGGCTGCATCACATCTTCAGATCTCAGGAAAGATCTTCAAAAGTCTCTGACTACACTACATACTTCCAGTTACTGCACTGATTCCTAGCACTTAACACAACTGTGTATTTTTTTAATGATTTATTGTGCGTTTCATCTACAAAACTGAAGTTTCATGAAAGCAGACAATGAGTATTATTTGCTAATACATTACAAAATGTCCCACATAATGTCTACCAATTGTCCATAAATATTTGTTGAGTGATTGAATGAATAAATATTTGCTAAAAGTGTGACTTGAAGACTCATGAAGACATTCTTTTCTAAATGGGTTGGTGAGGATCCTATTTCCAACTTGGTATTTCTGCAAATCTCAATAACAGGCATGTTAACTAAGCACGTTTCATCATGGCCGTGCCCAATGAGCCACGACTCCCAGAAGGGACGAAGTAGTCCTTTATAGTAGGAGCTTGCATTCTTTCAGCACCACTGTTACTTTAAACTGAAACACATTAATGAGGGTTCATCTCAGTTCAGTGATTTTTTTAGTACATGCCAGCCCACACATACACTGATGTGAAATCACTGAATTATAAACTGTTTTTGTCAGGCCTTTGGATAGTATGAGATACTACTCAGTGCATAACTTAAATAGCACGGGCTCAACGGTAGCATCTCAACAATTTCAGAGGAGCTCTTGCAGCTAAAGGCATATCTTAAAAACATCAAAACAAGCAGTGTAAAAAAAATAACCATAGAATGTACCAAATAAGCATAGAAACATAACATTTTAAATACTCACAAATATTTGGTTTCAAAGCATAAATGGAGCATGTGGGCTTTCTACATCTTTTCCTGCCAAGTCTCAGGAAAAAAACTCTCCAGACTACAGTCATTTAAAACAGCTGTCAGGACAGATTTTCAAATATTTGATTTCAAAATACAAACTTATCTGCACTTTAAAACTCAGGGAATATCTGGGATATTCCCACTACCTCACTGCACAAGATGCCCTTCTAAAGTGGGCTGCAGGCAAAAACAGACCTGTATTTATGGGTGAGAACTATTTCAAATGCACATAGCAAATTGTTAACCCAAATACTAAATTTAGAATTGTCTTTCTTTTTAAAGGTGGGGGTAACTTTCACTACCTATTAGAGAAAGAAAATGTGAAGTGTAGGAATTGCAAAGGAAAGGAAAAGAGTTCATGGCCACTTCATGTGCAACTGCTGACTTTCTTTTCTAAGTTTTTAGCATGTTGTTCTTGTAGGCACTCAAATATAAACTATGAAATTTACCTCACTTTAGGTTGCTGGAAGGCCCAAGAAACAGAGAAGGATCTCAGTCTAAAAATAAATCAACTCGTTTAAAATAACCTTTCCCACACTCTGGTGTAATTAGGGTTGCTTTCTAGGACTGTGTTTACGTGGCTGTCAGCTAGGAGCCCTACACTTCTGACAGCTAGCTAACACTCTTAACACTTAAGAAGCCTGGGGTGACAGGTGGATACACAGCATTTTTTATTCTTCTGAGCAGACAACAATTCTGATTATCAATTTCAATTGGCTGGATTTATCTTAACTTTTAAGAGCGCAGCCATTAAAAGTACCTTTACTTTAACAAAAATATTGTTTTATTTCCCTTCAAATCTTAAAAGTTAAAATTCACTTCTGAGAAATGCACTGTCAAAACAAGTTACAGTACAACACAAAAAATTAACTACATATGACATTTTACAAAACAGTAGTCCATCTTCACCCTATGATTCTGATGGGTATTATACAAACAGAAAGAATGAAGCAACAGTTAAGAAGTGTGTCAGACAGGCTCTGGGAGGCTGAGGCAGTGGGACTCCAAGTGCTAGCCCCACCTGGCCAACTCAGTAACTCAGTGAAACTCCACCTCAAAATTAGAAAATTTTAAAAAAAGGGGCTGGAGATATAGCTCAGTGCCAAGACCCTAAGTTCATCCCTAGTACTGAAACAATAAAACAACAAAAGAAATATATCGTAATTCACACAACTGATTAATGGAATCAAGAACTTGGCGCGCTTTCCAACTTGGCATTCTTCCCTTACAGGCAACTATAAGAACACTCCAGATTAAGGAAATTCCGGCAGACAAGATTCCCCTTTCACCCTCCCAACCTTCCCAACCTTACCTCTTTGGGCACCTTCCAACTGTCTACTGTCACGTTGAAGAGAGCTTTGAGAGCTTCAACAGCACAGTCTGTCTCCTGAGGTGAGAGCGGAGGCCCATTACGGTCTACGGCCGACTCATACTCATCGGTCCACTTGATGCTAAAGGCACTTTCCAAGACCTGGGTTAGCAGCGGTAGTCCTTGGAGCTCATAGCGCAACTGTGACCTGATGTCAGTGTGCAAAAGTGACAGGAGGAAGAGCAAGCGCAGGTCAAAGCATTTAATGTCACTGATAAACTTCCGGTCCTTGCACTTTCTTAGGAGGTTACAGAGCTTTGCAGCAAGATTAAGCTCCAGGCTGAGCTGCTGCGCCGTCTGACTGTTGAACACTATGTTACACAGACACTTCAGCGACTCCACAATAACGGGGAATTCGGACACCTTCTCCAAAGAATCATCTGACTCATTCAGCTTGGCTAGTCTCAGCAGTATCTGCATGTTTTCCTTAGTTGTTACAGGAACTAAAATCTTTTTATCTCTGGAGAGAATACGGAGTACTTCCAGGCAGGACACCTGACACGATGTTGGGACATCCTTTACAAGGACTTTAAATATGCCTTCACAGAGTTTCTGAAAAACAAGAGCAAGTATGCAAAAAGCATTATTTGGTTTAAATCATTTAAAAGATAATGCTTCTCTACTGATACATTTAATAGCAACTAAGGATCTGGCTAGAAAAGGATTTTAAATAAATTACAAAATGCTGGTATTGAAAAAGCTTATATTTGGCATACGTTTTTACTTTACAGACACAAAATGTGAAGGCCAGAGAGGGAAGTTTGTGGCACCACTGCAGGGTGAACTAGTGCCGTAGTAAGACTACTATGTGTGCCCACCTTCAAAGCCCATTATTTGTCCTATAAAATCACTTACGTGATTTTAAATTGGTTAGTTTTAAATGTTATAGCTTCAAATGCTTTATTCTTAATGACTTTTTAACATCAGACTAAATACGTATCAGGGAAACAGGTGGCAGCCCATCTGGATCACAGCTGTCCCCTCCGTAGAAACAAAGGTTAATGCTTCAGAACTGGTTTACAACTCCCCACCGTATGCACTCTTATAAAATGACTTAAGGAAGCACCCTTTCTGCAGGGTTCCAGTTGTGTTATTTCTTGTGGATTTATAGTTCTTGTGGAAGTAGTTCAATGTTTCAGAAAACCAGAATCCTATCTAGCTAAGAACTAATAACAGTTAATGATCAAATGCCTCCAGAAAAGGACTTTTGCTAGCAAGCCAATAAAAATTATTCCAAGTGTTGGGTTCCAAAGAGAGTTTGCCAGCACATATAGTATACTCTTCCTTGGAGTAACTGCAAAAAGCTGATCCCTCCAGCAAATTTAACTGCAAAAGTGATTGCACTGGATGGGCATATTACAAAAAAGCTCTTCCTCCTCCAACCAGCTCAATTCCAAGACACAGAGCTTAGTGTCTTCAGTAAGGACAAAATCTTGAGCTCCTCTATGTTCTCTCTTTTTTTGTTTTGGTGGAATTGGGGATTGAACTCAGGCCCTTGCGCTTGCCAGGGAAGCGCTTATTCTACTGAGCCATTTCCCCTGCCCTCTCTGTTCTCTTGATACAGGGTAGAGAGTGTAATAAGGAATGTAGCAGTCTTGGACCAAAATCTTGTTACACTATCTCCATAACAATTCTTTTAGGATGAACTCAAAGTGTATTCTATCTTGTATTTTTTGAAAAAGTAATTATATCATTGCTAAATTTAATAATCACTGATCATTCTCTCAAAATTTAATGTTGGGTTTTTTTTCTTCTTTGTTTTTCCCCCCACAAATTGGAGATTTGGGTCTCTCAAGATTATCTGAGCATGTATAATCAGCCCATTGGTACACGTCTCTGTACATCATTACGCCTTCCACAAAATTTACAAGGTTTCTGTTAAACGATCAGCAGACTAACTTTTTAAAAAGAAGCTAAATAGGGTCAAACACTACGATCTTGGCAAGAATTGCAGGCGATGCTCAATTTCTCAGTACACCTTCGTTACACAGCTATGGAAATACTAAGTTTAAATGTAAATGTGTTCTCTAAATAGAAGGATCTTTATCTGACAAGCTAAAAACAACTTCAAAATAATGTCAACTATATCTCTGTCATAGATGATGTCTACAAGGAATTTTCTTTCAATGCTTTAATGTTACTGTTACAGCAGTTTTTCAAATGAATGTAGCTGGGGGTAGAACAAGGTGTTATGTGCCTATTACTAAAATTATGTAGGGCAGGGAAATCTTTCAACTTCAAATCATTCACATTTAGGACAAAAATATATATTCTACATACTACTTTCTCACATGGTATCTTCCTGGGGGTAAAATAAGATCACTTTTGCCTCGATATAATTTTATTCAAAAAGAAAATCATAAATCTTCCTATTTAAGTTAGAAATATATAACTAATCAATGTATTAAAAATTACATATCTAATAGTGCAAAAGCATCTTTAGTTTCTTCTTTCCTAAATCCAAATAACAGTACCAACAATAAAATCCAAAAACAAACAAAATTCACGGACAAATTGATTTCAAATTGTCTTGAGAAACTCTGGGATCTATGAAGGAATACAGAAGAGATCAGCAGTGCCTACAAAATTTATAGTTAAAAACTTTATCTAAACCCTTACAAGTGATCAGCAACAAAGTCAAAAGAGATTTTGTTTCAAAACAGTTTTCAATCCTAATTGAATGTTACCATTTCCTGAGACAGGTCTATTCCACACAATGAATATCAGGTAGCTTTTTGCTATCGTCTCATACTGTGTCTCCCCTTAATTTTACCCAACCAGTACTATACTGTTTCAGGCGCTATAGGTTTTTTCAGAAGTGCTGAAATGAACCCCAGGCCTTGTATGTGCCAGACAAGTGCTCTACCACGGAGTTACAGCCCCAGCCAATAGAAGTATGTTTTAAGTTGATTTTACTTTTCCTAAAACAGGTCCTCTCTTCTCTCACATTTTCTGCACCTTCCTGTTGCCCACAGAATGCAGCTGAAATGACCCCACTGAGCCTTCCCACTGGGGTCTCCTGTCACACCCCCCGCCTTGTTCTCTAGGCATTTGGAGCACACCATCAGTCCCGAGACAGCGTGCCTTGAGGCTTTCCTTTGCTGTTCCTTTGGCCTGGAGTGCCCTGCTGCCACAGCTGTGCATCAGGACCCTACTCTTCTTCTCAAGCTTCCTTTGGAAGCTGAGACGTCTATAAGCTCCCAAGTCACTCCTCTTTGCTCTCTGTGTGTGCCTCCCACAAGGACCTACTGGTATACACTGGTAAGATACCACACTCCTCCAGGATCCTTGAGACTTAGGCTACTTTTCATCTGCACCCTAGCGGCTGGCCTATGTGTGCAGTGGAAGTGCAAGAGAGCACTGACAGAGACGGCACACGCTGAAGCCTACCACCTGACTCCCCTGCACCTTCCAAAGCAGGGCTCTTCTTCTCCTCTATCAGCCACAATTTACTATTAAGCCTCTTGCCCTCTTTCCAAGTACAATGAATCATCGTTACATTGTTTAACGAATAAGCTTTTCATTTACTTTTAAGTACAGTGATATCTTGGTTGTTGAGCAGCTCCATGGTTGAACTTTCATACTACCTGAACAACAAAGTTTGAAAGAAAGTCTGTTCAGTGTTAGCAACTTCGCTCTGTAGTGAAACTAAAAGTCTAATCTAAAAAAACTTGTATAGGCTCTGGCTGAGTCACATGGCATCTCAATATGGACGAAAAGGGGTGACACTTCAGCCCGAGTGCTGCTTTCACCCAGACCACACGTACAGCACTCACGTTACTACGTTCAAACACTCATCACTGAGCTTTTTGTGTAAAGTATTATAGCAATGACTCCAAAGAAAGTGACACCAGCAGCTAAGTTACAAGGAAAACTGGAAGAACCATGATGGAATTAAGGAACGAAATCATTGTGAAATTTGCTGAATTTCTGGAAAAACGAATCTATAAATGTAATGTTTAGGCCTCAGAACCACTTGTTGGCTTTCCACTATTTCTGACGGGAAAAGAACGTTCAGTTCTCAGACTTTTGGTGTTTCCACATGAATTTGGAATGAATGGAATTTGACAACTTGAGGTATCACTGTTATTTGTTATACACGTCTATGTTATTGTTGAATTTATTTATTTTTCTATTTTTATTTTTATTAATTTTATTGAGAAAAAGCAGTGAGACAGTTTCAAAACTGATTAGTAGGGCAGTTTCAATAATTAATACATTGCATATTGTTGTCTTCATAGTGGTTATTCATAGCACAAGATGCAGACATGATATCCTGTCCAAACACTATTTGCACAAATCCTTCTTCTCATCAATTTATTTTTTAATCTGAAAATTATTTGGATATCTTCGGTGACGATGGAACACAATTTTTCCCATTAAAATCAGTGAAAATATTTTCCAATTTAATAACTTTTTACTTTAGAGTTCAGGTTTTCAGGAATGAACTTAAAGTTGTAAAGCAAGGTTAAGTATGCTTATAAAATGCAATTGCAAAAGTTTTAGCAAAAGCCCTTTGAAATGCCATTAACTTAGTAAGCCATGGCTATTTTTATGGTCAGACCATGAGACCCAGCAGGACAGAAACTTAAGAGTCAGATCTCAGAGGGTCCCAAATGCCACTACCATGGCATGGTTTGCTCCAAAGCTCAAGCCATAGCATAGACTACAGTACTGGTTCTCTAACTTTAGCACACAGCACAGTCACCAAATCCACCCCCCCATATTGTACAGTATGCTACAAGTTTCTCATTCAGCAGGTGTGGGGCGAGGCTCCAGAATAGGGACTTTAAGCAAGTCTTCAGTTGATGTTGCTGACAGTGGTGGTTGCAATGGGCTGAGAAGACCTGGATGTTGGAGGACGTTACCTGAGGGCAACTGACCAGATACGTGCATCAAAGCAGGAAGGTGAGCATGAGAAAGTCAGCAGGGGTGAGGACTATTAGTGGCAAGTACTTTGACCTCACTGCCCTATGCTAAGAATGTGTAAGGGTAGCAGGGACAGGAACAGGTTATCACTACCTGGTCATCACCTTTCCTAAAACTTAAAGGAACACTAGAAGATGGAACGCTTTTGAAGTCAGTTCTGGGCTTAACGCTTGTCTATTCTACTGTGGACCCTAGAACCAGAACAGCCTAACAGGTAAGAGTAGGAGTTTGGGTTCAGATTCCTTGCAGTTCAATCTTGGCTCTTCTGTTTACTAATGGTATGACCTTTCAAGTTACTCAGTTTTGCTGTGCCTCATTTTTACTTAAGAATTAAATGAAGAGCCGGCCAAACAGCTCAGCGGATTGAAGCGCCTGCAAGCAGGCACAGGCACGGGGGGTTTGATCCGCAGGCCTGCCGTGTCAGCCCCGCCCCCAGGGTGCACTGAGACAGTGATTGAGAGTGGGTGTGGTGTTTACATGGGTGGATGACTTCAAGTCCGATCTACATAGTGAGACCTTGAACACCTTTTACACCCTTCCCTAAAATACAAAAAAAAAAACAAAACCCAAGAACCTAAATGAAATCATACATATTATTCAGATGCTTGGAGTTAGATAAATGT